AGAGCAAGGGCCTCAACCTGGGTCGGGACTGGTATGTCAAAGGGACAACAATCTGGTCTATCGCCCATGCAACCAACCACGGGAGCCCAGTATGCGGTAGGGCCATCAAGGATCGTGTATTCTGGGGTCGCACAGTATCCTTGCAGTAGCACTCCCTTTCCGGCCCACCTAGTAATCGAAACAGGAGTAGAAGTGCTTGAAAATGACCCAGTAGTCTCGGCGGATACGCGAGGAGCAAATGTCACAGGGACCAAGCTAGGTTTTGGAGCCGAGGTAGGAGTTACTTCAGGCGTTTTGGATGAGCTCGGCTTCTCGGATGACTGCTCGCTCGAAGGAGCTGGAGTTGATGAAGGCTCTTCAGATGAAGATGGAGGCTCTGGTGCTGAAGATGGAGGCGGTGCTGACGAGCTTTGTAAGTCGGAGGACTCTAGGGTAGAAGGCTCGGTAGATTCCTCACTGGATGACGAGGGCTGTTCTGGCGGCGGATCAGATGAACTAGTTCCAGGCACCGTAGTAGAACTGGGAGGGTCTGGTGGCGGTGTGGAGCTAATTTCATCACACCCGGTACAATCCTGGAATTTAAAACTGGTGGTTGTGACTGCACCACAGTGGCCTTCAGACCAGCTCGACATGGTTTGATCATTTTCTCAACATTGTATCAGCTATGTTCGTCTCCAGCTGCTGCTGACTCACCGGGATGGATGCAGTTTGAGTAAGGGCCTAGAAAGATGCATCCAGAGAACACCGAGTTGTAGTCTGCGAAGGTCGAGCACACACACGCATCAGCAGAGTGGGTCGCATCTTCCGGTACATATGGACAAGGCCATGCGGCGAGCTCTCTGCAAGACGAGAAGGCCTCCTCTTCTGCCGAATCGTTCTACGATACATTAGTCTGAACACACGCAAACGCAGTTCGAGACATACCGTGCAGTTTGACGTATCCAACTGCCGAGGCCGAGCGAAAAAGCTCGATCGCTCAACCCATCTTACAAAGCTGTCTGGCATGATATCGACTGTATGACTGTGTTAAATTAAATTCTGTCCTGTTGGACCGATCACCGCAAGTAGATCAGGAAAAAAGAGGCACAAGGCTGAGCTTCTGCGCGCCGTCTTTGAGCTGAGTTCCCTGGCTACATATAACCTACAGCTGCGTGGTTGAGCCTCCATACTTCGCCCGCCCAGAACTACACGAAGATGCATTGGTGGCGTTGGGCGTTGGGGTACGAATTGGCCGGACCTGTGGTCTTCTTCGCCAAACTGCTCGCGAACACGAAGTCGCGTCCCAATCGGCCGCTTTGCCAAGTATGTGGCAAAGTGACACTGCCGTGGGGTTGCTGGCTTCTCCGAGTGGGTTGTTGTCCTATGTGTCTGGGCGACGGAGGGAGAGGGGCGATGTCGCGCTTGTTGCATCATGGATCCGCCGTGGAGTAGGTGATCTAATCTGTCGTATATCTTGTGTCCATCTACCATTTCCACTGCCCTAGTGTTCGTGATCAGAGTGCCTGCTGAGTCGTACATGGACTCGTCTAGCCAGCTGATGCTAAGAAGAGTTCCAGGGTCGGAAAGCCGCTTTCGCTAAGAAAGCGCGAGCATTGGACGCCACCCCAGCCCTGCAGAGGCCAGACACCAAACTTTGCCGCATCAGCATATGCTTACAGGGATCTTCTGTTCTTATTTCAGGTTGGTGATTGGGACTCTAGATAGAATGTGGCATGTCATTTTTGTACGCTTGAGAGGACGCAATACATGTCAGAATCGCCAGGTCGAAGCAAAAACATGAATAGACTAAAATCCAACGGGCATCCCTTACTGGCATGAATTCCGTTTGACTCGCTAGGGTGATAGATACCGTATTGAGAATCACTTCACACCAGGGCCGTCTCCTTCAACCTCGGATGCCATCACTTGCAGCCTCTTTTTCATCACGTCGGCGTCCAACTCAGGATACTCTCTCATCTTCTCGATCATTAAAGACGGGTTTTCATCGAGGAAGCCCCAATAATTCCGTGCAAGCCTATGTGAAAGTAACTCTTTCAAAGTCCGATGAGCCGGGAGTGGGGTTCCTTCCGTTTGATATACGACACAGCTCAGGGCAAGAGTTTCTTCGATGCTCCAGGGTTCTGTAAACTGGATCTTTTCAATTATCAGCTCCATCATATCGTCCAGGCCAATGTCTTGAGCGACTTCCCACGCTTCGCAGCATTGTGCGAAAAACTCGTCTCTCTGGTCAGCGTCAAATGCAGTGAAACCAAATGTCCCGCTTTCGAGATAATTGGCGACAAGTTTAAATGCCCTCGGTTCCACGCGAGAGAGAGAAGGTTTTGAAAATTTCCACCCTCCTCGGCCTACTGGCGTCAAGCATGCTCCGAAGTGATGTTTGAAATGAGGGCGATCCTTGATAGCTTTGTAAGGCACAAGAAATTTTTCCGAGTCAGGCCCAACGAGGAATTCGATGAAAGAACCCGTTTGTGCCCTAAGATTGGTCAATAAATCTTCTCAATCATGTTTTGCCCATCTTACAGTTCAGATAACTCATCGAGGTCACTCTCGTTATCCACAGAGTCGGGATGAGAAGCAGAATCATCAACTGGCTGGTGTGACTTCTTGCTTATTGGTATGTTCTGCGCCAAAAGAGAGCTTCCAGCTTCGGGCGACAAGGTTGAGGTAGTGGTGTTTCCGGTACGTTCTTCCCCTCTGGTGCACAGTGACTGAGCAAAGGACCAAACTGGGGGACCCTTGTTGAGGCTATTATTTTGCGTTGTGAGGCGTGGTTTCTTGGGTCGAGCTAGTTCCAAATCACCATCAATTGAGGGCGACGACGATCTTTTTTTCGGCACGTCCGCGAGACTAGCCGCAATCGCTTGCTTGAAAGCCAAATCATCTAAGTCGGGATCGAAGTCCAGTTCGGATATCTTCATAGGGCTTTCACGTAAACCCCAGATGCTACCCATTTCCTGAACCCAGTGGCGAGTGTCATGGCCCTTTTGCATCGCTTCATGCATCCTCGTATAAGCTTCGGATAGTTGGGGATGCAGTTTGGCTCGTTCTTCCGGGCAGAATATCTCGCCAAGCTCCAATATATTACCGATCATGACCCATTGGCTAGGAAGATTAGACGTAAGAATTCTAGTGGATGAGGTACGCGCCACTGCTTACATGTTCCGTTCACCAATAAGAACCACAGGCAGCGAGTAAGATATGGGCCTGTCGATGAGAAGATTCCCTGGCAACTCTCGCTGATTGCAGACATAGCCAGGCCACGGAGGTCGGTTTCCTCCTGTTCCGCATACAAGGACCCATGTTTCGGGGCCAGGTCTGAACATTGGTCAGAGAGGATATCGGAGGATCAAGACTTTGGTGAAGAAAGTGATTATTGATCAAGTCGGTGTAAAAAGGTGAGTTGCACTGTGAAGTTCAGGCAGGCGCAGATTTATTGAAGCAAAAGGACTCCTAACTGGAGATAAATGAAGGAGGAGGTCACCAATAGAGCGAGGAGACTGTCGAGCCCATCACGTATCTGTTTTCGGAGTAAAGGTAGGACGCTGGCAGGCGGTCGATGCGGAAATTCGGATGGAAGAGCAGTGGAATCACCCACTGCTAAAACAGTGTACCAAGGTTTATGATAATTCTCAATGCTCTAAAAAACTCAGCTAATCCACGGTGACTACATCTACAACAAAAATCGAACCAAAGGGAACGAGTGTGGTTGAACGCATGTTTTGGTGTAGGTGGATGCGATGGGACTAGCCTTACCTAACGGGGAAAGAAGACGCACGGGCCACCAATCTGATGCCAGATCTCTGGTCGATGCATCGCGTATGTTTCTTCCAATATCCCCATCCACTCGCTCTGCCGCCATAAAGCTAGCTTTTCGAGCTCCAGCGCCCTCTATCACCCGGCCAGATCCGGTGAAGTCGCCTCACACATCGTACTCCCTCACCTACCCCCAAAATGCTCGGCCTCTCCAATATGGCTCCTCGGCAACTTGCCAGCCAGCTCCTCAATTTCGCCCTCGTCCTCTCGACCGCATTCATGCTATGGAAAGGTTTATCTGTCGCCACAAACTCACCTTCTCCAATCGTTGTCGTTCTCTCCGGGTCTATGGAGCCCGCGTTCCAGCGCGGCGATTTGCTATTCCTCTGGAATCGGGGAATGGACACGCAAGTGGGGGAGATTGTGGTGTACAATGTGAAGGGCAAGGATATCCCGATCGTGCATCGCGTCATAAGGAGATACGGGGGAGGAGGGTGAGTCTATACTTTTGCTGCATGGGTCTTAAGAACGAGGGTGTGGTCGCAATGATGAGACTACTAGGGGGCCAGAGAAATATGGAGTACTGATTCGTGTGCAGGAAGTCTGCGCTCAGACTCTTGACCAAGGGCGACAACAACTTGGCCGATGACACAGAGCTCTATGCATCTGGTCAATCGTTCTTGAATCGCGAGGAGGACGTGATCGGTAGCGTGGTGGGCTTTATACCATTCGTGGGATACGTCACGATACTCCTGAGCGAGTATCCGTGGCTGAAGCAGGCGATGCTGGGGATAATGGGCTTGATGGTGGTGCTGCAGAGGGAATGATCGACCGAGCTGGGTGCGCACAAGATAAAGATCAACGATAGTGGGATACAGATGCCTTGAAGGCTCACCATGACCATACCCGAGGCACGGTAATGGTCGATTGCTGAGTTTATAATTGGGTACTGCGCAGCAGTACATCTGCCGCAACAGCTGCGCGAGACTGTCTGACTTGATAGCGAGGCGTCTAGGTCACAAAAGCAGTCCAGCACGAGCTCAAAAAGAAGTTTCACTGACTGATCTCCTCTTTCCTTGCTCCGTTCAAACGAATATTTCCCGTGGTATACGTTCCCCTTCAAAGCGTTTATAACTTAATCAAAAAAATACCAACCTCCCAGTAGCAAGCTGGAAAAAAAAATGGGTACAGCCATGCATCCGGCGGGATCTGCCATTCGTCAACACCTATCCAAACGCTGTTCAAGAGACACACGACTTACTCGAACCCGCGATCCCCGCCTATCATGATTATGGGAAGGCGATACCCTAACCACTGGGCTACGGATGCTCTGAGTGACCAATGGAAAGATTCTTAAACCAACACATTGATATACAACGATGTATTTCTTCAACTGGCAAAACGGTGCCGATCAGAACGGAGGGCGAGGGTGGAGTGACCAAGGCGTGTGGAAGGTGCGATGGCACTGTTTGTTGCTGCACATTGCCGTTCTGCAGGTTGGCTATGCGCGTCGGGAAGGTGCGACGGGCGCAAGGCAGGGCTTGGATCATGTTAGTGGAGTGGATTACTGTCTTGTAGGCACGAACATCACGCCGTTGAGACGGGCATGCTATCTACGATGTCGTGGTTTGCAAGCCATCCAACGTCAAATATGGCAAGGGCTCTAAAGTAGACCTGCGACGGCACACGAAAGTCTCGCTACTACAGAGAAGGCATGCGTAGCTGAGGTATATCATCAGATTGTCATACCGCAGTACCTAGTGTACATAGATGGGTCTCCGTTAAGCCTCGTGATGTTTTGGTACTCGGGTCGAACGAAGAGTAACATCATCAATAATGTTTGTGGCAGCACGTCCGACCACGCAGACGGGCGAAGACCACCATACACCGCAGTTAGAGAAATTGGATGGCGGAAAACAAATGAAACCGAACCCTGATTCCAGACCCCGTGCACCACGACCGCCCATCTAGGTAGAGGTCATCTTCTGGCGGGGCTCAAGACTGAAGACCGCGAGAGACAGTAGACAGAAGATGGAATGTCGAAACGATGAAGGAGCCCCTACTCGGACTCTTCCTCTTCGTCGCCAGCGCCCTCCTACATATCGTTAGTGATTGAAGTGCTGAAGCGGACTGAAACTTACGGCGTAAGCGGCCTTTTCATCCTCATACCGCTTCTTGTCGGCGGCAGCCTTAGCCTCGTAGGGAGTGCGTTGCTTGTCAGTCAGGCCCTTCCACTTCTCGCCAAGAAGCTTGCCGACCTCGCCTGGGCCAAAGTTAGTGGGCGGCTCGGGTCGAGACGAGTACCAGAGGCGAACTTACCGAACTTGATGCCGGGATTGTCCTCGCGGACCTTCTCGCGCTGTTCATTGGCGAAGAACATGTAGGCAGACAAACCGCGCTTGGGTGCGTTGGGATCTGGAGAGTAAGTCTGCGGTCAGAGAGGCAGCGAGGAAGAGAACGTACCCTTCTTCTTCTTGGTCTCAGCCTTGGTAACCTTGCCCTTGCCGCGGGTCGTCTTCTCCTTGGGCATGTCGACGGTTGCTAGAGGAAAGCTGGAAGGAGAGCAGTGAGAAATTGCAAATGGCAAATGGTAAATGAGGGAGAAAACAGAGTAGGGTGGATGAAGCGACGAGGAGTGTGGTGAGTGTGGTCAGAAAAGAAAGGTGGGTGGACGTGGAGTTGGCAGGTGGGGAAGCACAGGTGTACCGGTGCGCTGCCGCGTCAAAAAGCACCCGGTCGCAAAACACCAAAGCCGCGTCGCAAAGGTGCGTGAACAAGGCAGACGGCAGCGACAAAGCACGTACAGGAAGGTCTTGTAGACAAAAGAGAAACAGATTCTGAAGTGCGTTCTGCAGGATGGTAAGTCGGGCCTGCAGCTTGACAGGCGCGACGGCGAAGAACGAGAAATCAGGACGGAAAATGGGCGCGAAGAAGCAGAAGAGGCTGTGAGCAAGAGGAAAGCGCGTAAAAAACGCGTGAAAAAGGGTGGTGGTGGTGTGGGTGGGTTGCGCCGCGAGCACTGTATGGGAATCGGCTTACCGAGCTGTGTATAACGCTTCAGAGACTCTATGGGCGAGTTCAGTGTGAGGAGCGCAGTGAGGAGAGGGAACTGCGGGCAGCTGGGCAGGGCGGACTCGCAATATGAGCGCAGCCCCGGCAGCGCCTGTGGATCACGTAAGTCCCTGCGCCTAACAAAGGACGACCCCCAGCACCTTCACTGCACGCTTGCCAGGCAGACCGCTTGGGAAGCCATCCGCTGCGCTCCCTCTCCATCATTCGTCTCGCCCGCTGTTACAGCCGGCTCATGCCTGCTCCTGCTCCTGCTCCTGCCAGCTCCTTGGGCCGCTTTGGTCGCTCTGGTCGCGGTGGTCGCGGCAGGCACGCGCACCCGTGGTTGCTGCTGCCGTTGGTGAGGGTGCTGCTTCGAGTCGCGCCTGCCTGCCGGCCCCGTCGCTTCTCCCAGCGCCCGGAATGCGTTTGGCTGCCCAGGTGGGTTTCATGCGACTCGTTTATATTGCTGGCGCACGCCAATTCGCCCTCCGTGAAATTGTTGGAAGCGTTATCGCTGCCTGCGTGCGCCGACAAGCTGCTGCGTGTGCGACTACGCGCTCCCACTCCCCCCTTCCCCTTCTCCTTCCACCTCAAACCGCACCGCCCCTTTCGACAGAGGGAGCGTCTGCCGCACTGCCGTCACGCTGCATCCCCACAAGGCGTGTACCAAGGGGCATTGAGCCGCTCTCGTTGAGCTCGCCAAAGCATGCCGTGACGCGGAGGGCGTCCGGCTCTGCGGACGGCTGGGGGCTGGCTCGAATACCGCACTCCGCCGCATGCGTCACTGACGCGGCCTTGAAAGAGGAGGCCGTTATAATGCCCTCGCCCTCTAACCGGATACGGCAGGGTCAAAACAATCACACTCGAGTCTCGACGTGCGCCAACTGCAAACAGGTCCAGCCATGCTGCCGAGAGACGTCCTGCTTTGACCCCTCGCTTCAGTCTGCCCAAGCCGATGATAACATGACCTCCACGAAGTGTTGCACTGCTTTGCGTTGGGGCTGCAGTTGACACATGACGGACTGTCTAGCAGCATCGAAGGGAGCCCTCTCGGTCTTCTGAAGCCGAACTACCAGGGAATTGAATCTTTCTTCCATAGTCCCTGGTTATGCTACGCCCGACCAATCGCCCCACTGGCGTGCCAAAGTAATTGTCGCCTCTATGAATGGCATGCCCCAAAGTACCCCGACATGCAGGTCCAGTGCTGCCGTTAGTCAGACAGGTCTCCACTGCACGGTTGCTTCGGAAACAGCCGATTTGCAGCTTGCCAAACCGTATAGCACTGTCTGCACCTTTCCATCGGACTTGTCGCCAACAAAACGGCCTACGCCATCTACGACGCTCCTCATACTACGGGTATGGAAAATCGCGCAATCGAAAGCTGACCGACAATCAGACGCGACATGACCCGCCTATGACGCGCAGCGCACGCTCGAGCGAACCCCTCTGCACCCCTTCCATCTCTCAAACTGCTCTTTCACCCTGCCCGCGCACGAACACTGCAAACCCGCCGTTCGATTTTGCAAGATGAATCTTTTATACGACACGCCAGAACACATGTTCAGATATTGGACACTGGTTGGCCGCGCCCTTTATTAAATGAGACATGCTTGGAGAACTCGAACGGCTGCCTCGCTTGCTTCTCATCTCAACTTTGGGATGTGGTGCTCGGTTGCCTTCTGGATATGTCTAGGGCTGATCTATCCGCTAAAATGTCTGACCATTCGCCCTCGTCATTGTCCGCGCGAAACATTTCAGGTTCAATCATCTTCCTCATCGTCCATGACAAGCTCCCGCAGCACCTCGTCCTCTGCCCAGTCAATACCACTGCCGACAATCATATTCGCAAGAACCCCCTTCAAGACCTTCATCTGTCTCCGCGATTTCCTAGCATCCTTTTCAACCGCGGTGATTCTCTTGTGAAGATCGGGATCCTCGACGTCTTTGAGTGATTGGGTCCTCATCTCTTCTGCGAGGGCAAGGATCGTTTGGGACAGATCTTTGTTCACGGCATTGGCCTCCAGGTTCGCTTTTTCAGTGAGACGCAGCGCCTTGGATGTCGCACTGAGCTTGGATGCTAGTGACGCGTGAACCATGGAAACCGTGTCTCGCTCTGTGACGAGCGGAAGTAGGCGCCTCCGTTGCGTTAGAAGCATCGTCTCAGCGCGTGATCAGGTGAGCTACTTCTCTGCAGATGCCGTTTGCTCGCCTCCATGGACAGCCTTGAGGACAGGCTCCATGGCTAGAACGTTGTGCGATATCTGATTACGCAGCTCATATTCACCCTTTGCGTCCATGGCTTCACGCTCGGCTGCAATCAGCTGCTCTTGCAACGCATCATCTGGTAGCGCAGAGACATTGCGTGCGTTTGCTGATATTAAATTAACCCTGTACACCCAAACGATCTGGTCGCTCGTACCTTTGTTTTGTGATTTGAGGAGGCTCTGTTGCAGTTCAAAGTCCCGTAGCTGATCGTAGAGATGGAGCGCCTGCTGCTCGAGACTCGAGAACGCGAACGCGTCGCTGTGGGGAGCTTCAAGCAGGTCGGCGTAATCGCTCGAATTCACAGGTTTGGCGCCCCCTTCGGCCATGACGGTGTCGATTTGGTCATTCATGGCAGACTGAGACGCCGAGTCAAGTGCGGCTTTCCAAAAGCGACTGCTCATGTTGTCCTTCTGATCGTGTGCACGTGGGATCCCGGTCAGCGGCCTTGGCACTCAACCGCCCTCACGCAGCTACCCTAGCTCCAGGCCTCCTCCACTCGACTCTGTCTTGACAGGCAACACCACCCGTCGACGGGATCCCGAATGTCGCTACAGATAGCTGTAGCTCATACGGGCCAGCGGCTCGACGCCGATCCCGTCGGCTTCAGTTCTATCGAAGCGCTCAAGCACTGGATCTCGAATGCGACGCAGATACCCCCCGAGTACCAGATCTTACTCACGCCGCGCGGCAAACATGTGAAGCTGCAGGCACTGTTGACAGAGGTAGGATCAACTACGCCTTCTCACGCGCTTTGACCTGACATGCTGGTCTTCTAGAAAGAGATATTCGTCTACAATCGCGACCTCTCCACGGGATCGCACTCTGCCCTTGATCCCACCCCACTCCCCGACTCGCATACCATCGATGACCCCCCCGATACCCTCTCCAGTCATACCGACCTGAAAGCATGGCAGGCGCTCTTTCAGGCGCGGCGAGACTGGGCCTTTGCGGCTTTGGCGAGTTCACATGCAATGTCCACGGCTGCCGCGAAGCACTTCGCCGAACAAGCTACC